GAGCCAGCCCACCCCGCCCCGCCCTGCCTTGGCCCGCGGCCCATGTGGGCTGGCCCGTGTAGGCCCCCTCCCCAGCGGGTCTAGAAAATCCCAGCCCAACCCGTCCCTTTTGCGGAGCGGCGCGGGCCAAATTGACAGCTCTACTACTAAGGGTGCAAAAAATATGATTAACCGACCAAAACCGATTGAAATTGAATTTTTTGTTGAGATCAAAACCGAAATTGAATATTTGGTTCGGTTTTCGATTTATATTTTCTTACTATTATACATATATATGTTATAAAGGCCCAATATAATGAATTAATGATACCCACACCAAAGCCCAAGGCCACCCATGGCCCACCCACGACCCACCAGCAGGTCTAGTCCACCACGAACACGAAGCAGCCCCAAATGCAATCTCACTCTTATCATCTGTCGTCTCGACATCTCCCATAGCCCTTTAACCCTTACTTACTCTCCCAATCGCAGACGCTAGAAACCTGAACCCTACCTCCGCCCATTTGTCGCTCACGCTCCTGCGGCCGCTCGACCGCTTCCGTACACCACACACTCCATTCGGCAGGCCGACACTCGACGGCAACCTCGTCTTCTCAAATCTCAGATGTGTTCGCGTCCGAAATCCTCTCGTACGGACCGCACCTCAGGATGGTGGTTTTCAAGACTTTGAAGCTATCTTTCTTCTTTTACCTCATGATTATATTGTTTCGATTGAACCAATTCAAGCTTGTTATATATATATATATTCTTCTTTTATGTTTTTGAGCTGAACCAATTTTCTTATGAACAAAGCTCGTGGGTTTCAAAATTGTTGACACCTTAACCAATTTTCTTCTCAAATTTTCTGAATTAGTGTTGGTTGATTTTTTTTATGGTGTAAGTCAGAAAATTCGATCAACATGAGGTGTAAGTCAGAAATTTTTTTAGGGTAAATTTTTTGAATTAGTTTTAGTCCCATTTACAATTTATCAAATGTACCTCAACTTCACAGACTAGGTGTAAGTCATTGAATTGAACAATAAATAAAATATCATGGATCGATTAATGAATTTTTCACTGAAATTATGGTTGTTCTTTGTTAAATGAAATTATGACTGCCTTTTGTTGATTTGTTCTTTGTTAACCTACTCTTTGTTGTGAAATTAACTTGAATGTTTCTTTGTTAACCTACTCTTTGTTGTGAAATTAACTTGAATGTCGAATTTAATTATGCTGTGATTACTAATTAGTTCCATAATCATGTATTTTTATGTACAAAGTGCAAAAGAGACGATTTGAGTCCTTCGGGATGTTCGAGGACTTCGAGTTCAAGTTCACTACGACCGCCTCGTGCATCATCGAATGATCCAAACCTGAATTGGGCAATGAGAATGCCACTTTCGAGAAAGAGCACATGGAAACATATACTGCGTATAGAGATGAAAAAGGAGAACCAGATGAAAAGGAAGATGGGGTTCCGAGAAAAAAGACTAAAAGAAGGGCCAAGGCATGGAAACACTTTTTGATGATAATGGGTATAGATGGTAAGCAGAGGGTACAATGCAAGCATGTACAAAATTGAATGGTACGTCTTCTATGAATCACCATATGAGTAAGTGCAAAAATCATCCCGATAATAAATATCAGACAATTTTCAAGTTTTGTCAAAATATAAGTGTGGGCACAAAAGAAAGGAGTTCTAATTGAAAATTTGATCAAGAATCAATTAGAAAACCATTGATCGCATGGTAATTGTTGATGAATTGTCTTTTTTTTTTTCCAAACGATAGAAATATCTCCATAACGAAAAAAACCAGAGTTTAGTACAAGCCGGATACACAACCGAAAAAAAACACATTGGGAGAGACACTTAGAGAGTGTTCTAAAAACACAAACCTAACAACGGGTCGAAGCAGGGACATCCCCCGAGACCAAGACCCGTTAAACCACCAAAGAAACCAAAATAAAGCTGCAGCACCACTACAACTGAAAGCAAAAAAGACAAACCCAAAGCATAAAAAATAGAAGGCTAATCACCAGTAGCCGTAATCGGCTTACTACCCGCAAAGTCCTGCCATTCCTTCCATGCTCCTCGCACGACCACAGTCTCCGGCATCCACACGTTCTCGAACATCCATAAATTTCTCGACCGCCACAACCACCATAGAATGTACGTTGTTAGTTGAATGCGATCTTCGGAAATAGGTGCTGTGTCCATCGAGCAAATTTGCCACCACCAAAGCCGGAAAGAGGTCTCATCATGGTGTGCTTCATCCCATCGCACTGGAGCCATTTTCCACACCGTTTTTGCTCTCCTGCACTTGAAATAAAGATGCTCTATTGTTTCCTCTTGCTCCCCGCACTGCTTGCAAATAATATCCACTTGAACTCCCTTTTTTGCCACCTTCATACTCACTGGTAGGATGCCATTGAAGCATTTCCAAATGAAATGCTTCACTTTGCCTTTTACCCTCATCTTCCAGCTTCTTTCTCTAATTTTCTTGTCCCTATCTCCCGAGGTGCTGCTCTCTGGCACATCCATTGACAGGATTTTGCTATCCATGAGATGATTGTAGGAACCGGCCACATTGAATTTTCCTTGCTTGTCAAAATTCCACTTCCATCTATCAGGCTGATCAGGTCTAAGAGTATCCACAGCAAGAATAGCCATTTTATCTCTGTTAGAGAAAGCATTGTTAATGAGTTGCACATTCCAGCTTCTGCCATCTTCAAGGATCAGGTCTTGCACTCTTAACAAATGCTCCTTCCATTCTTCCAGCAGTTGTGGACTTTGATGGTTTAGCTTAGGAACCCAGCTATGATCACTTATCAGAGTCTCTTTCCCATCTCTAACTTCCTTGCACAGCCCTTTTGCAAAAATAGGAATGATGTCCATCCAGTTATTCCATAGCCAAGACCCCGAGCTCATCTTTTTAGCTTCAAAAATGGAAGTAGTAGGGTAGTACCTAGCCTTCAAAAGCTTACTGATAAGAAGCTCCGGTTTAGTTGTGATTCTCCATAACTGTTTCAAAATAAGAGCCTCATTGAATAGCTTATAATCATGAAAGCCCAGCCCTCCATTCAGTTTGGGAGTTGTTAAGCTATTCCAATTCTTCCAATGAATCCCTTTCTCAGTCACAGTTCCCTTACTCCACCAGAAGGCTGCTGTTATTCTACTGAGTTCATGGCAGATGGCCACAGGCTGTTTAAAACAGCTCATGGCAAAAACTGGCAAGGCATTAACCACAGCTTTAACAAGTACTTCTTTACCTGCACTAGACAAGTAGGTGTTCTGCCAACTGACCAACCTCTTTTTCACAGCTTGAACAATAAAATCAAAAGCTTCTTTCTTGGCTCTTCCAATTCCTAGAGGCAAACCCAGGTACTTTGTTGAGTTGTGAGCTTGAACCCCATTCAAGACTGTACAGAGAGACTGTTTCATTTCAGCAGGTGTATTCCTACTAAAAAATACAGTGGACTTAGTGAGGTTCACTTTCTGGCCTGAGAACTTCTCATAAATATGCAGGATATGGAGCAGAGTCCTAGCTTGGTCCAAATCAGCCTTACAGAAGACTAAAGAGTCATCGGCAAACAGCAAATGTGTGATAGTTGGACAATTCTTAGCAATTCTGAGACCTCTGAAATGATTTCTGTCAACAGCCCTCTGAATGAGAGAAGAGAAAATTTCTGAAACTAGAAGAAAGAGGTATGGTGATATAGGATCACCTTGCCTCAACCCCCTAGTAGGCAAAATATATCCCACAGCCTTGCCATTCACCAAAAAAGAGAAAGAGGATGTAGTTATACAGGCCATCACCCATTTTACGAACCCTGCTGCAAATCCCATCTTCTCCATTGTTTTCTTCACATACAGCCACTCCACACGGTCATATGCTTTGAGCATGTCAAGCTTTAAAGCCATAAAGCAGTGAGGACCAGACCTATGCCTATTCAAGTAATGAAATATCTCCTGTGCCATTACCACATTATCGAGGAGCTGCCTCCCAGGAATAAAGGCAGCTTGAGCTTGGTTCACACACACATCCAAACATCCTTTCAATCTTGAAGCCAATATCTTGGAGATAATTTTGTACACTACTCCACAGAGACTGATGGGCCTGTACTGACTCAAAGAAGAAGGATTATTGCATTTTGGGATTAGGGCTACCAGAGTTTGGTTCCAATACCTTAGAATCTGCCCTGAAGTGAAGAAGCTTGACACAGCTCTGCAGATATCAACTCCAATTACTGGCCAGAAATGCTGGTAAAAAAGGGCTGTCATCCCATCTTCCCCCGGGGCCTTGAGAGGGTTCATCTGAAACAGTGCTGCTTTGATCTCAGATACTTCCACCTCCCTGGTTAAATCTTCATTCATTTCATGTGTGATGACAGGGCTAATATTGGCAAGAGCTTCACATTCCCCATTAGAGCCTTCAGAAGTGAAGAGGTTCTCATAAAATTTAATCACATGTTCTTCAATATCCTGGCTAGACTCAAAGACCCTGCCATTATCAGTAAGCCTGGATATAGCATTTTTCTTCCTCCTCTGAGCAGTCATGGCATGAAAAAATTTGGTATTGCGGTCTCCTTCTCTAAGCCACAAGATTCTTGATTTCTGTTGCCAAAATTGTTCCTCAGAAACTAGTGCTGCATCCAATTCGGCCTGGAGTGTTTCCCACTCTTCCCAATTCCTTCCCCCTCCAAGTTTCCTCATTTCCTCTAGAGTCAAAGAGAGTTTGTCAATATGTCCCTTACTATCTGCTCTGAAATTTCTCTTCCACTGCCACAGTGCTACTCGAGTTCTTTTAACTTTCTCTTTAATGATAAAGAAAGGAGTGCCAAAGTCAATACCATTCCACGCTTTCCTAACCACATCAGATATGTCCCTCCTCAGAATCCACCTCTTATCAAAACTGAACCTAGCTCTCATATGTTGGGACTTATTATCAGAAGTTAAGAGCAACATACCATGGTCTGATGAGCTCTTAAATATGTTTTGAATTTTAGACTGAGGGTGTTCTCCAATCCAGCTAAGGGAGCCAAAAGCTTTGTCAAGAACTTCTTCCACATAGCCCTCCTCATCTCTGTTATTCCCCCATGTGAAGTTATATCCTTCCATTTTTATTGAGCCATTCCCATCTGAGCAATAAAATTGTTGAAACCCTCAAAACTTCTGTCATTTCGAATTCTACCTCCTTTCTTCTCCTCATTGCAGCAAATGTCGTTCCAATCCCCAATAACAACCCACTCATTACCCCATTGAGCTTTTTCTTCCACCAAATATAGCCATTGCAGTGCTCTTTCAGATTTAGAAGTGCTTAAGTACACAAAAATAATCCACTCAGATTTTGCTGAGGATTCCAATTTATACTGAAGCTGAATACAGAAGTCCTGTCCAGTGATTTGAAGTATTTCAATGTCTCTATCCCAGCAAAGAAGAAGACCTCCCCGAGTGCCATTTGGTTCCCAGTAGTACCATCTATTCTCAAACCCCAAACTTCTGCAGACTTTATTAACAAAATCTTTTTGTTTTTTAACTTCTGATAGAAATACAAAATTTGGATGATGAGTCTTGATAGACTCTCGCAATTGGGGAACTGTAGAGGGTCCACCCAACCCTCTACAATTCCACACCATAGCTTTCATTGGGAAGGGTGGAGCCACTCTTGGCTGGCTGCCTCCACCATCTGAAGCTTATTCTTAGCCTTCTTCCTGCTTTCATTCTTCTTCTGAGATTCATTATGTTGTTGACAGATAGGTTCAACTTCAGACTCATCTGCTAATCTCTTTCTGTCAGAAATAATTATGGGGATCTCTTCTTTGCCCTGCTTTCTTTGTAATCTGCCTGAGGAATCAGCTTTCCTTTTCCATGTTCTTGGAAGTTTTGCCCGCGGAGCTTCACTGATTGGTAGAGCATGAGAATCAAAGGAGGATACTAATACCATATCTTCTGACCTTATTCTTGTCTCCCCAGCCTGTTGTGGTACTGAGATAATTGGTAAAGGTTTTTTCATTAAAGCTTTATCAGGTACCTCTACCTCAGACGAGCCATGGATGTTTCCTCTAGTGGTATTTTCTATGTGAGTGTCAACTGAGGGGGAATATTCAATTTGCAGGCCCTCCACTTTACTTGAAGACCCCATTTCCCCTTCACCATTCCTGGAAGAACTCTCCTTTCCTGGTGTTCTGGTATCCTGACCTTCTGAAGCAGTCTGGTTACTTTGATTGGGAGAATCTTTCCATTGAGCTCCTTCAGCTGCCTTAACCCATTCACCATATTGACCTTCATTAACACCATCATTCTCAACATCCGAAATTCGCTTCCTACAACTTTTTTCTTGATGGCCAATCATCCCGCAGTAGTAGCATAGATTAATTAATTTCTCATACTTGAATTGCACCACCACTGCGCTATCCCCCAATCTTATGTTAGCCCATCTAGGAATTGGTTCCAGAAGGTTCAGAGTAGCCCAAATCCTTAAAACTCTCCCTCCTTGATTGCCAACCCTAGCTATATGCACGTTCTTAATGCCCTTAAACATCCTCTTGAGTTTTAGACCCACCTCTGTGCTCTGCCAGTTGAGAGGCACATTATGCACTTGAACCCACAGATTGATGGAGTCAAAACATTCATCTGTCCCCTTCAGTCCTTCCTTCCACGTATGTAGAATCAGATATTGATTGTCAAACACCCAGTTCCTGTTCAGATCGATTTTCTCTCTTTCCCCTCTGGACTGGAAAAGAAACTGAAAGAAATTAGAATCCAATTCTCTAACCTCCAGAGCATTCCCTACCTTCCATGCCTGAGACATTGCCCTTCTAATGCCGATCCAGTTTGCGCGTTTGTCCCCAATGACTTTTCCGAACAGACTACGGTTACATTCTTCAGCACTGTTTCTCACATCCCGAGCTTCGATATCAATAAATGAGCTCTCATTCTCTGATAACGTAAACCTCTCCATGAGTGACCCAAGAGCCTCGTCTTCTTTGTCCATACTCCCCTAAAAAGCACCACCACTCGATAATGTCACAAGACCTAAAATGACACTACTCACAACTGACTGCCCGGACTCTCACTACAAGAGAAGGAAACTCTGAGACAGAGATGAAGACTCTCAAAAGAGAGAAGAGAACTCTCAAGAGAGAGAATTTTTCCTATATGAATTGTCTTTTCAATTTATTGAGAATGAAGGTTTTAGGCAGCTTATGTGCATTTTATGTCCTCAGTTGATTGTGCCATCAAGAATGACTATAGCAAGAGGTTTTTTGAACATGTTTGTTGATAAAAAAAATCGCCAAAAACTTTTAATTAAGTCGTTGGGGTTGAGAATGTCTTTGACAACTGATTTGTGGACTTCTAATATAATTTCTTAGTTACTTGTGTTCGATTGGTCACTATATTGATGATGAATGGAAGTTTCATAAGTTGATTCTCAATTTTCTTCCTTGTCCTAAACATAAAGGTGATGGGATTGGTCATTTGATTGAGAAGTGTCTTCTTGATTGGGGAATTGATAAGGTGTTTGGTATTACCATTTGATATAGCCATATTATCATATACCGGCCCAAGTGCTAATTACTCGACCGGGAAGGCGAATCGAACCGACCCCACGATGATATCATCAATTCGACGCTCGCAAGTCGACTTCTTGGCACTTAACAGCCTTACACGAGTCATTTGAAGATGAAGACCGGTTCGACCAAAGTCTACAGCGTCGGAGTCGACTTTAGAAAGTTGACCCACGAAGTCGACCTCCATCAAGAATAACCTACGTGACCTCTGAATGTTCACATGATCACAAGTCGACCTCACAATGCTCGAGGTCGACTACCCACATCTCGAGACGTAGAAGGTGCTGACGACTCAGCACCCTTGCAGCACACCCGAAGCCTCTTATCTTCTAATGGATAAGGAAGAATCTTGTGATGACTCAGCAGTGAGAGGAGACAAATCAACTGGGGCAATTTAGACCTTTCAGGTAAACCGACCTGGGCATTCTAGGTACTTCAAGTAAGTGTTTTTTCCTATATAAAGAAGGAGAGGTAATCCTAAACCCTAACTTCCATTCATTCACACTCTTCTCTATAACTATTGCAGCTCTCTCAGAGCAGCCTCTCTTTTCATCTCTTTCACGTACTGACTTGAGCGTCGGAGGCTCTACACAGAAAACACTTCCGGCGTTGAGTTCTTGCAGGTGTTGTTGCGGTCTAGCAACGGTTCGAAGGCGATTCAAGCAGATCTGAGCTCAAACCATCAGTTCTCTTCAGATCTAGAAGTAGACCCATCATTTTGGCACCGTCTATGGGGAGTTCTTGAAGGAATTAAGAGCTTTGCACCTAGCTCCGATCTGCTTCTGATGGCTGAGAAGGAAGGTTTGCAGAGGAACTTGAATGAGAAATTTAGGGAAGCTTGGACAGACAGGAGACCACCACCACTCTCTACTCCTAGACCTCCAGTGTTGCAGATGCTAGGACTACCACCATTTGGAGGACTTCTGCCGCCGGAGATGAATCTGGGTGGAGAAACACCCATTACTCCACCCGGAGTGAAAATGCAAGTGTTGACCCAAGTAGGAACAAGTCAAAACCCTAATCCAGGTGTTGGAAAGAGAGAATCATCGGAGATGTCTCGACGTGAGGGAAAGCAAATCCAGGAAATGCCGCAGCTGACACAAACACAACCCCGTGTCGAGGAGCAAACGCTGACGATGACGAGGAGCGAGATGCAAAAGATGATTGCTGAAGCTTTGGCCGCCCAGATGAAGCAAGTGGTGCGAGTCAAGCAGAATCCGCGGGTTGAGCAAAATCCCCAGGTTGAGCAGAACCTGCGAGTCGACCAACAGCCTCGTGTCGAGCAAGAGGCTCAATCAAACGTGCAGCAAAACAGAAGGGCGGACGAGGAGGAGTCTTCCATTCGAACTATCAACCCGCAGGCAAAAGACGAGACATTGAAGCAGTTGTTGGCCCAGGTCCGCGACTTGCAGGCTCGATTCGGGGGAAAGAACAGCAGGGGAGCAAAGGAACATCCGTTCTCGCAACAGATCCTGAGGGCCGACTTACCCCAAGGCTTCAGGGAGTTGAACATATGGTACGATGGCTCCACTGACCCGTCTCGACATCTAAGAAGCTTTGAGAACATGGCGGTGCTCCACCGCTATAGTGACCCTGTGCAATGCCGCACTTTTCTGACGACTCTGAAGGGATCGACTCAGGACTGGTTCCACCAACTACCAGCTGGGTCGATTCAGGACTTTGATGGTTTCAGCTCGAGTTTTCTCAATCAATTCGCGAGTGATAGAGTGCAAGAGAAATCCTACCTCTCACTGATCAGCATGCAGCAAAAGAAAGGCGAGTCGTTGCGAGAGTATGTGGCGAGGTTTACGAGGGCATGTGTCGACTGCCCAACATCAACAAAAGAGATCAAATCGGGAGGATTGACAAGGGGGCTGCTACCAGGGTTGTGTAAAAACTCTTTGGCTAAGCGACCTGGTAGGAGTTTTGATGACGTATTAGGAAGATGTGCTAAGTACATGAATGTTGAGGAAGCAGAAGTCGACTACCTACAAAGGATGAAGATGTCCCAGACTGAAAGTCGAGATGAGAAGAAGGAGAAGAAGATTCATTCGGCTGGGGAAAGGAGCCGACTTACATCTATTCCTCTAGCGCCTGCGGTTCTACGGAATGTCCCAAACTGTCTGCACTGTCTTGCAAAGAAATTTGAATATGAAACATATAACTTATGTTGTTTGGATGGAGATGTGTGTTTGCTACTAATGATGCTCCTCTTATATTTCAAGAGCTTTACACATCTTCGTCATTAGAAGCAAACTTATTCAGGACTTGCATTCGAACAATCAATAATCTTTTTGCTTTCACTTCCATGGGAGTGCACTATGATAAAGCTCTCAGTAAATGTAATAATGGAATTTATACATTCAGAGTACAAGGTCAGATATGCCATTTCATCGATGATTTCCTTGAATCTAAAAATCTTCAGTTGTATTTTCATGACACCGATACTGAAGTTACAAACAGGCTGGAAGCATGCCCTAGATTGACAGAATCGTTGAAAAAATCCTTACAGTTCTTCAACATAAACCATATGCAAAATTTTTAAGGAGTCTTAAGGATATACCTAATTTAAACGAATGTCACATTATATTAAAAACATTGCGTAATGTTAATCAAAGAGTTTTTAATCAACTAGAAGTTTCACAAGTGGCTGCATTATGGGTTGAGGATGAAGATAACGGTGAAACAAGTGAACGAAATATAATTGTGCATTCACATGGAGGACATTCTTACAATATAAGTTATTATTATGGTTGTTATGACCCTAATATCCTCTGCTTTTCCCATTGGGAGAAGTTGGTTGGCACCAAGGTGTGAAGAAAAAAAGTAGTTTACACGGTAAAAATACAGAAGGTTCTGTTATAGACGTTGCTCCTCATTTAGCAATGGACTTAAATGAAATGTTAAGCACAGAGTTTGCTGGTTAGTAACATGTGTCCAATATTTTCAGTTTACTTTATTTTTCATATATTTTCATTGGTGATGAGTGGTTTTAAAAAATTTAATTTTCTGTCTTTTTTCCTTACTCTCCAGCTCAATCCATCCCACCGGATGATTTGAACTTTTTGTCTGTTAGGGCATATTATTCGTACAAATTGCAAATTAGAGAAGGTGATAAATCATTTTTGCTGAGGTCTGGTAGATTTTTACAACAATATATAGTTGATATGTACGTTAAATTAGAATCATATCATCTAGATTTTTTGAGACTTCAACAACAAAAGATTAGAAATGAATATTTACAGGGAATCCAAGATGCATTAAGTTAAGAAGAAACTGAAGGTTCTAAAATAGGACAAAGAGTTTTCTTGCTAGCAAGCTTCATTGGAGGTTCAAGAAATATGAAAAGACTTTATATTGATGCAATGACTTTTGTACAAAAATTTGAAAGCCAGACATTTTCCTTACCATAACTTGTAATCCTAACTAGCCTGAAATAAAAAATCTTTTGTTGCGATATGAAGAAATGCAGAACAGGCCAGATTTAGTTGCAAGAACTTTTAATGTTAAGTTGACAAAGTTAAAAGATGATTTATTTAAAAAAAAAATATTTTTGGTGACGTAGCTGCATACACCTATGTTAATGAATTTCAGAAAAGAGGGTTGCCCCATGCACATTTTCTCATTATTTTGCATCCACAGTTTAAGCTTTTTAGAAGTGAAGAATTCGATAGAATTGTGTGTGCTGAAATACCAAATAAACTTTCTCATCCTCATTTGTATGCCATGGTTAAGAAACATATGATGCATGGACCTTGTGGTGCACTAAATTTAACCAATTCATGCATGACAAAAAAGGGAAAGTGCCAGTTCGCATACCCTAAAACATTTTGTGAAGAAACAAGTCAAGTTTCGGGTGCTTTTTCTCAGTATCGTAGAAGAGAAAACAACATAAAAGTAAAAGTCAAAGGTCAAGAATTGGATAATAGGTGGGTTGTTCCTTACAATCCATATTTGCTTGTGAAGTACAATTGTCATATAAATGTCAAAATTTGCTCCACTATACATGCAGTGAAATATATTTATAAATATATATGTAAAGATCATGAGAGAATAAATTTTCACCTTTCTTCTGACAACCAAAATGAGAGTATTGATGAAATTAGACAGTATACGTTTGCTAGATGGGTTTCTCCTCCTGAAGCCGCTTGGAGAATATTTAGATTTTCAATGGGAGATATAAAACCTGCATTTGTTCATCTTCAGTGCCATTTACTAATTATCAGAGGATTCATTTAAAAGAAAAGATAAATTAAGAAATATTGTTAGAAATCCTTTGAATGATAGGATAATGTTAGCACAATTTTTCTATATGAATAGAACAGATAAATATGCTCAAGAATTAAATTTGACTTATGCTGAATTTCCTAAATATTTTGTCTGGGTTACCAATGAAAAGAGATGGAAAAAACGAGAGAGACAAGAATCAGTCGGTAGAATAGTGTCTGCACATCCTTCTGAAGGCGAACGTTATTACCTTAGATTGCTTTTGTTGAAAGTGCGTTGTCCAAAATCCTTTGAAGATTTAAAGTTATATAATGGTGTTATGGCTAAAACATTTCGTGAGGCTACATTGAATAGAGGTCTCTTAAAAGATGATATAGTCAATTTCTGTGTTAGAAGAAGCTATTCAATTTAAAATGCCCTATGAGCTTCGAAGGCTTTTTGCTAATATTTTAGTTTATTCATGTCCAAATAATCCTAGAGATTTATGGTTAAAGTTTGAATCGCATATGTCTGAAGATTTTAGTCGAGAACCATCACTTACGCCAGCACAAATAAGAACTCGAGTTCTAGGTCATATTGCTTGCTTTTTAGAGTCCATGGGAAGTCAATTAATTCTTTTGACCTTCTAACTGATGATGTCCCTCAACTGGATTCTACACATTTAACAAGAGAATTAACTGCAGAGAAAAATATAAGTGTCTCAGTCGAAGATTTAAATGCAATTCAATTATTTAATGACAGACAAAAGTATGCATTTCGTTTAATTTCTACTCGTGTTTATAATAATGAAGCAGGAGCATTTTTTACAGATGGTCCTGGAGGAACAGGTAAATCGTTTCTTTATAGAGCCTTGTTAGAATATATTAGATCAAAGGGATATATAGCTTTAGCAACAGCTACTTCCGGTATTGCTGCTTCTATTTTACCAGGTGGCAGAACAGCGCATTCAAGATTTAAGATACCTTTAGATATATCAAAAGGGGAAACTTGTAAAATAAGTAAACAGAGTAGTCTTGCAATATTATTGAGAGTGTAAATTATATGGGATGAGGCACCAGTGGCTAAAAGATCAGCAATCGAATCACTAGATAAATTACTTAAAGATATTTTAGACTCGAATGAAATCTTTGGAGGGAAAGTCATAGTGTTTGGAGGCGATTTTAGACAAGTGTTGCCAGTTGTTCGTAGAGGAGGCAGAACTGAAACAAATGATGCTTGTTGAGTTAATTCACCACTATGGCCGCATCTACAAAAAATTGAATTAACAGAAAACATGCGTGCTAAGTTAGACCCTGTATTTTCGAACTATTTGTTAAAAGTTGGTAATGGAGTCGGACCAACATATTCAAATAATTTGACTCGGATACCTGCATTTATTAACACATTGTCTATGGTTGATGTTAATGATATTGATAAACTAATTAATGTTGTTTACCCAGATTTATGCCAATTAAATGATGAGGTATTTTAAATTAATCGCGCTATATTAAGTACAAGAAATAATTTTGTTGATGAAGTGAATAATGTACTCATAGATAGATTTCCAAGTAAACCAATGGAATATTTTTGGTTTGATGAGACACGAAATCTTGCACATAGAGGTCAATATGAAGATATTATTAATTCATTAACACCAAGTGGTATGCCACCTCATAAGTTAGTCGTGAAGAAAAATTGTTCGATAGTATTGCTCCGTAATTTAAATCCAACAGAAGGTTTATGTAATGGTACCGGGTGAAGGTGTAAAAATTTAACTCGAAATATTATACATGCAGAGATAATTGTAGGTGATTTTGCTGGCAAAGAAGTTTTTATACATAAATTACCATTGGAGCCACCAAGTGATCAGCAATATCCAGTGCCTTATGTTAGAAAACAATTTCCTGTACGATTGTCGTTTGCAATGACGATCAACAAAGCGCAAGGGCAAACTTTAGATTTAGCGGGTATCTATTTGAAAGAGTCAGTTTTCTTGCATGGGCAATTATATGTTGCTCTATCACTAGCGAGATTGTCATCTAATGTTATTGTCATCTAATGTTACAGTTCATATGAAACCACCGTATTTTGACTAGAAAAAGGTTCGGCACATGAAAAATATTGTTTACCAAAAAATTTTGGATGCGGCAAAGCAATAGCTTGTACATATCTTCTTCTATTGTTAACGTTACCTATCTATTATTTGTATGCATTAGTTTGCACTTTTTTACGTATATATGATATTGTTTGGATAATTTCTGACTGTTCGTTCTTTCTTTTGTTCTTTTGTCTTACTTTTTTTTCCCTTTCCTTTTTCCTCTCTTTCTTCCTTTCATTTGGCGTTGCCTACTGTCTTATCACTGTTGGTCAGAATGTCTCGGAAGTATCTTCAAATTAAGGAAGTTAATGTTTACATTGAAGGTTGGACAATGATTATTCAAGTTGTCGAAAAAATCCACGTTAAGATTGGTCGTTATGGAAAAAGAGTGCCTTACCGAAAATATGTTTACACGGATTCACAGGTTCAATTATTATATTACTATCATACTTTTTTCAAAAAGTATCTGACTAAGTTGCTTTCAAATGCATATATGCTTCTATACATGTTCTATCATAATTATGTTCACATTCCTGCATGCTAAAAAAAATCATATAATTCATGTATGGAACAATTGTATCTGCAACTGTGTATGGATCTGCTCAAATTCAGTTCTGGGATGAACGCATCATACAATACAAAAGATACTATGTTTCTGGGGCAAATGTGCAGCCAACAAATCCTCTGTATCAAATCAGTGACTACGCTTTCACCTGGACAATACAAAAAGGCACACTGGTTGAAGAATATCCTGAAAAATTACCTCCACAGCTCCCATGCAAAATACACCTGCAGGAGTACGACAAACTAAGGATGTTTGCAGAGACAGAAAATTTACAAAGTAATCCTTAAATTTTTGTTAAAAAACACGAAACAGAGAAGAACAAAAAAATATCAAAAATGATTCACACCTCCTCCATAGATTAGTACCCACTAAAAAATAATCATTTACAAAAAAAGTTTACAATGACATATGATGTTTTTATTGCTTTCTGCAGATGTCATGGGTGTTGTTGTTCATGTATTGCCGCGAAAAGATGTTTCCTCAAGTTCAAACACTAAAGATCTTGTCATCGTCAATGCTGAGTAAAATAAATACATCTTATACAGTTTATATGCTCCAATAAAAAATGTAAAAGTAAATCTAATTTATTTCTGTCTAATTCCTTTCAACAGGAATAGACCTATGATTTTTACATTGTGGAATGAATTTGCAAAAGAAGAAGGTGAACAATTAGCAAGCACATTGCCTAATAGTAAGTCTTTGCTGACTCTACCCATACTATTTGAAACTTGATCATCACTTTCTGTAAATATACACATTGTTTAAAATTTTTCCATAGGCAGTGCTATCAGTGACAACAACTCACTTAAGCACAATAATGATAAATCCTCCCATGGCAGAAGCTGTTACTCTCAAGCAATGGTAACAAATGACACATGGTCTATTACTTGCATATTTTTACCCTTCAATTTCTGTTACAGTCGTTTACATTTAAATATATAGGTACATTGACCACAAAGAAGGAGTCAATCATCAGCTACAACTGAAGGTCTATGAAAACCTTGAGTTTCTCTTACCGCCACCAAACGAATCAGAAATTATCTCCGTCCACTCAGCCTTAAAAAATTTGCAAATTGTGAGTATTGAAATCTTCGGTATAACTAATTCCTTTCGTAAGAAATGCCATTTTATGCATTGAAAAAATATTAATCATATCCAATATATTTAGCTGAAAACGGCATGGATTCGAGGAAAAGCCGTTTTTGCATATGGACAGACATCTTACTGGTTCACAGCTTGCCATAATTGCAGAAAAGGTCTGCGTGTCCAAGTCGGATGGACAGTGACATGCCCTCAATGCAAAGCAGAGGGACCAGTGGAACCTAGGTATGACAATAATACAATACAAAAAATGATGTCAACATTTTCTTTATAAATATCATTTACGATGCAATTAAAACACTTGTTGCAGGTGTAGATTTACACTGGGCATTGAAGATAATACTGGGCTAATACAAGCTGTTATTAGTGGTCCAGAGGCTGAACAATTGCTTCCAATGACCGCAACTCAAATGAGCTTGAACAAAAACCAGGTAAAAAGAGTCTGTAATTATTTTCGTTTCCGTTAACTTTTTGAACGTTTGCTTATTATAGTTAGTGGGATACAAAAAAAAAAAAAAAAA